TGTTTTGTTTTGATATATCTAAAAAAAAGCGACATTAATTTCTTAACGACCTAATGAAATATTTTTGTATTTATTAAAAAATAGTGTAAGGTATTTCTTTAATAGCTTCATAATAGTCTTCATAGCCGTTATCTTCCACTTTATTTTTTAATAATAGTACATTATCCATAAAAAAATTATAGTTATTACAGACTATTAAAACCTAACTATTTAAATTCTAACTTACATATTCACACTTTCAGTTACATAGATGATTTAATATCCATAAATAATATGGCCCCCAGTGGCACAGCGGTATGTCTGCGAACTTACAACGCTAGAAATCGGGTTTCGATACCCATGGTGAGCAGAGCACAGATACCCCATTGTGCATAACTTCAAACAACATCAATATAGTAATATGAAGTTTACACAAAATTTAATACATACAAATAAATTTGCAATAGAAAGAAGTAATAATAATAATGAGGTCCATGCTAACTATTTAGATTTGGACATGACTTTTATAGAAGGCACAGCACGGTTGACCATTTTTGATAAAATAAGAGAATTAAATTTTCCCATCCTTGGTCTACCCACACCTAACAGTGTTATTCCGTGTATCATGCTAAGTGGTATTATTATTATATCTTAACTAAAAAGTTTTTAAAAGTCTGTAATAACTATAATTTTTTATGGATAATGTTTTATTATTAAAAAATAAAGTGAAAGATAACGGCAGGCAATTAAAGAAATACATTATAAAAATAAAGAGGTCGTTAGTTATTTTGATTTATAAGTAGTTAATAGCAATTTGTTTAAATAATTTTATTTGGTATACCGGGACGGAAAGACTAACTTGAAGTACCTGGGCTTGTTTCGGTGTTCATGTGTTATACTTGAATAAATCTTTAAGAGAAAGGGAGGAGGTTGGGAGTAAGAACTTTCAAGGTAGGATTTATACTTCTATTTAATATCTTTGTGTAGGAGTGGAGGTTAGGAGTTTAAGTAGTAGGAATGTTAGGGTGGTTTCATTTCTACCTCAAGAAATTTAAGGGTAACTGGCTATAGACAGTAGAAGACTAGAAGCTCAGAAATTGGGGGTGTAAGTACCCAGCTTTGTGCCATTATTTGATTTTCCATGATGCCTGACTAGATTAACAGCTGCGTTTTAATTTCGTCTGAAGATGGGATATCCCCAATGCATTTGGCTACTACTGCCGGACATTATCCGCCATGAGAATAAGTTGACAACTTGGACCGATAACGGTAATGCGATATTTAATTTATTATTATTGTATAGTGCTGATTCAATTGGCTACTAACAATCAATGTAATCAATATTTATATATATATATATATATATATATATCTGACACCAAATTTCACTGATATATGCTTTTGTTTGTTTACTTGTACATGTGTAATTATACTTAATAAACATCATTAATTTTTACGTGTACAATTACATACTATAAAATCGATCAATTATGCAATTATTTAATTACTTTACTATTTATTTTTCTCAAATGTAGGTAACTTCACCTTTTCTGGTTTTGCTTTCTTGTATTTTCCAAGTTTAACACATCCATCTAACATGCTTTAACACCTAAATACTGTAAAATATATTGCTGTAACAATTTACCATTAGGTGTTTATTTTCATTATTCAATAAAGTCTAGTCCACTTTGAATATTCGTAATGAATTGTTTATTTCTTCTTCTATAATGTCCATGTTCTACAAGCAATGTTCATTGATAGGCTTAACTAACAAAATCTGTAAAGGACTAATAAAGAGCAATGAAATAAATAAAAACAAAAACCTGCAGTAAAATATGACTAAACCACAGGTTGTGTTACTAAAGCAAAATGGGAGGAATTAGAATTAAACAGTTAAGGGTTAATAGTAGGGTAGCTGATGATATTTTTTTACAATATACTTTACAATTACAGATAGTGTAAAAACACTAATAGCTATGATTCCAAACTTCCAAGATATCTTTTACAATAAGGATATAAAGGAGCCTAAAAAAATCTTCCTATTCAAAATAGTGTTTCAAACATATGTATAAATATTAACAAATAAAAGTTACTGAATAGTTTTCCTACTAACTCTCAGTAACGCATTCTCCAGAATTTAAATAACCGTTTCATTTGATAGTATGTCATATTTCTTCTTAATCAATGCTTAAACAAGAAGCAGCACTTTAAAGTACAGCATTTTTAGCCATATAAATACCATCTGTGGTTGTTATAACCCTAAAATTAGATGCAGCGACACCTCATGAACATGGCTAATCTATGAGGAAACTCATAATAAGGATAATAATAAAATAAGGCTTAGCTTATTTCACACGAACACGAGACAAATTTAAATTTGCACAGATTTATTTTCACAGTACAACTCCAGAAAAGTTTATAATGAGTATAACAGGTCCAGGTGTAAAATAGATGGTTGCAACAAATGATTAAAAAACTGTGCTCCATAACATCATGATTTTGTGGTCACAGTGCAACTTTTAACAGTAAAATGAAGTATTTTATTGGAAAAAAGTTTGATTACATATATTCATAACCAGTCAAGTGGCTAGGGTGGGATATTCAGCACAGTAAAAAAATAGTATTGTTAAGTTGCTTATGAAATTACATCAGCATTGAGAGTTTTGAATACTAATTACAAGCACATTATATTTATATGCATACACACATAACGAACATGTTTATATAGAGCATAATGTTTATTATCCTTGAACCTCCCATGTCTGCCACTTATTCCAAGTGTCTTCATTTCATTTAGAAAGAGTGAAAATTACAATTCAGTCTCATTTTCAACCTTTCGTATTCCTTTCTTCGTCAACAGCATTTTAATTTCTAGTTATTTTATTCTATTTATTTCAGTTTATAGTTAGAGATAGAAATAGGTAGTCTTTGCATTTTAGAAACATGTAGTGGTGAAAGAAATGTTGGTTTCACTCGTGTGTTTTACAAATTTTAATTTCTGGTGCTAGATTCAATGAAACTTGTATGCACTAAATTCAAAATGTATGGATTATACTCTCTACACAAATGTATCACTGAACTCTAGGTCATTTATATTGCACTTGTTGTTGTTTTTTAACTATTTTCAACTACACACAATATGCACAGTTATGAATATGATTTCTTAGGTCCATTAAAAAAAAAAACAACAACTTGGAAATCAGTTTGTCTTGCCACAAAGCCCAGGATTAATCTGAAACTTATTTGGACATCAAAACTAATCACAAATTTTATTTTAAGTCGCATTAAATTTGTAAGGACAACAACAAAACAAGGTACATTTGAGAATGTTACATCTTTCTATATCATCCTTTAAATGCTAGTAGAAGAAAAATGTTGAAAGAACAGTTTCTTGAACACAATCTAAACCATTTTAATATCAATGTGGGACATATTTATAGATAATAATAATAATAAAAAATATATATATATATAAAGCTACTTGTGAGAAATTGTTGTTTTTTTTTGGTCACATGATTCATACATTTATTACCAACTCAATGTTTTCCAATACAAATATTAAAGAAAATATACAAATTAAAAAATGCCTATATTTTTTCTTCACACAATTATTAGGAACTCCATATTCACAAATAAACTAGATCTATGAAATGCATGTAAAAGCAATATTAAGTAAAAGTTAAGTGTATTTACTAACTTATTCAATCACTGATTACATGTTGGAAAAAGAGCAATAGCTATAGAAAAAAAAATTAAGATTGCGCTACTTGTGACAATTCACAGCTTCTGAAATACTCCATTAAAAATCTATTAAAATGGTTTATTAAATAGAAAATTAGTAATCATCTTGAAAGCTGGTCCTGGTTTATCCTGTGGCACCATATGACCAGAGCCCTAAAATACAGAAAAGAATTAAAAACTAAATGTGTATCATTTACTTGTCATGCATTATAACACTAACATTTACAGATTAAAAGCAAACTTCAACTGTTTCAAAGTTTGTTGAAACCATGATTTGAGAATCAAAGGGTCCAAATGAGACAGACAAACATTAGTGAGAAATTTAATTTTTACAATTCATTTAATCAGTTGTTGAAAAGTGGCATTTTAATACATGGCTTTTTGAAATTCTACACAATTTTATAACATTTGCATTTTATTTAAAGGTGTAGAACAGAAATAAATACTGTTTTTAGGAAGAATAAAGTTTATTTAAAGCTTTAGAAAACATTTGCTCTTTCATTTAAATGGTTTTGTTTTGGCCTTTAGTATTTTCTTGAAAAGATCTAGAAACACAAGACTGTAAAAATATTAATTTCATTTAAATATACGAGTGATGGGGAGCCTCAGGCTTCATTTAGGGCAACTTTGAAAACTACAGCTTCCAGAGACCAAGTAGCTCCTGTACCCCCCCCCCCCAAAACTTACACACACACACACACACACACACACAGTTGGTGCAGCTAATGTTGTAGTGCACCAACAATTTATAGAGCCACCTAGATACAAATATCCCCACAATCTTAAACAATTAGTTTCAAATATTTATTATAATTTCAGATAGTATTATTTATGTAGGAGAAGAATATTTACAGACTACTTAGACCTGACATTTCATAGGTTTCATTAATGCAATGAAATAGAATGAAAAGCTAAATATACTCACTCTTAAATATGTTTAATGTTCAAACTTCTACAGGCACATTCACAGGCAATATTTTAATACAAGTATCCATAACATTATACAATAACACAACTGAAAACTGATATGAGTTATAGAAACTACACATGCATGTAAGGACACAGACACTTTATACTTTAGTCATCACTAATGTTCATTTTTATTAATTTATTACAATTCATAATTCCAAACAGATCTTACCTTAATTGTGACAAATGTCAAATTATCAAATTCTTTTACAAATCCAGCAATCTGATCTCCAAATTTCCAGTTTCTAAATTCTCCTTTTATCTATAATTTACAGTTCAAAATTATTAATTTTATGCCAACAAATTTTTAATCTACAACTTAAAGCAAAGACAATAAAGCTTCTTGAACCACTACATAATTCAAAAATGAAAAATGCATTAAAGCAGTTAAGTGAAAGACTTCATAACTAAAATTTGTAACACAACTAGTGTTTATTTACTTTTATAATGTATTAGATACTCACTAATCTGCTTTTCTTTTCCCCCTTTGTACACCAAAACTAGTGTTGGTGTCAACTAATGGAACATCATTAAAAACACCAAATTTTCTTAGGTATAAGTTTCCCATTTTTAATAAATATTTATTAGCTTTTATATTTAAAATAATTACAGACACTATTCTTAGAATAAATTAGTAGGGAAAAGACTATTAAACTATAACTAAAGTAAAACTCTAATATACAGTCAAATAATTAACATTTTTAATAGTTTGGTTTATTAAATAGTTCAAGAAAATAATATTAATTATTAAAATGTTGTGGTATATATTTATACACTAAAAGGGTTTTCACACACCATACTAGTTAACTGGTTAAATTTATCGTTTAAATGGCTTAATATATCATTTAATAATTTCTCTGGTGTATGCAACACTTCAATATAAGAGGTGCCCTTACGTTTCAACCAATTAATCCTTGAAAACATTATATGGTGCACTACTGAATTATGAAGTACAATTTTAACACAACATATAGATAAATGATCACCTAGTTCTTCACAGATGTCCCTGCACATCCAATCAAAAGAAATCTTCCCTACATTTTTCAGGAAATCATAAAATTCTTGTAAGGTGTCAGCATCCAATGCTGCTGACAACAACAACTTGTTCCAAAATTTTATAAACATTTAAAAAAAATTAGAAGTGTCTTAATTTGAGTCTAGACTGTTTTCTAAATCTTAAAACTGTCCTCTCACTATATTGTCTTCTGACTATAGCATAAAAAAAAAATCATAAGCCTGTAATTTATTTATTGTCCAGGTAACTTTGTATGCTTCATTAAGATTACCTCAGTTCAACTGATTTGATACGTGTTCCTAATGAGAATCCCCACTATGTAAACCTCTTAACCTTCTTAATTTCAAGCAGCCAAAGGTTCATATTTGTTAGAAACTGGTACTTGAATGCTAACTGAATCTGCCTCTATTATCCTAACATTTTTACTACTGTGTATCCTTGCAAACTCAACATTCTCAAAGTATTATCAATTTTTTTCTTTATAAAAAGAATGTAAGCAAAGTCAACTTAACCCTTTCATAACTGGTGCCCCTTTAAATGCTTTTCTGCAGAAGTCACTGTGTTACATTCAAAATTTAATTAAACACCTTTACTTTCTATGTATGTGAATGAAATTAATATTATGCGTTATGCTTCAAAGTTTTATTTTATCTAAGTTTAAGTCCTTTATTTCAAAATAAACTTATAAAACCTACTTAACTTCAGATGTATTGTTACGTGATCAATGAGCTATGGAAATTCTCTACTTTGGCTTTCTGTATCTTCAATAATACAATGGTTGTTGAGTAGAGGTACGTTTAGAGAACAAGATGCTTACATAACCTTTTGACTTGCACATTTCAAAGTTTTCTGAATGAATACAGTTAAAATAAGTAAAATGCTTTCAACCCCTGACAGGTGCCATGCCTACCTTCAACAGATTTGTAGAGCTTTATAGCCTACATGTAGATGTTACATACCTATGTGTATAGTTATTAACTATAATCTAACAAGTTATATTGAAATTGGCACCCAGTTTTCACCACGGAGTACATGTAACTGACTGTAGTATTGTCGGCTGCTTGATCTACAATAGCACTTACGATTGTTTCTTACCTAAGTATATTAGAGATAGTTTAAATTGTATTTAGGCCTTACTATCATATTTTAGTTAATTGTGTATTATTTATATTTTAAAATGCATAATTAAAAGTTTTAAATATACATCACACCTTAAGGCTTGCGATATTACATGCTGAACGAGAATTTCGATGAAGGGTTGTGCATGTCTCCAAAAATTACTGTAATATGCTTTGAGTGCACTGTTGACTTGTGTCAAGAGGAATAATAAGTGGTTAAGGACAAGAAAGGAAGATAAATCATTAAACATTAAGTGTATGTAAAAAGGAAAAGACTTAATTACGAATTTAACAACAGGAAAATCATTAAAGATATTCCACAAAAAAATTAAAAGGTATGTACTTTTTTTCTATTTCCTAGTTTTAATCATTTCATTGCATCATACATTGATGATAATAGCCAGAATTAGTGATATTGTAAAGAAAATGAAAAAAAAATATTTACCTTGAAAAAACTTTTGATATTCATTTAGGAGGTTCCAGAGGTTATGCAAATAAAATATGAAACTATAAGTTAAGAAAAGTATTTTTATATTTAAAATAAAAATCACCTTGCACATGAACTATTCATAGTTTGAGTGCAAATAAGTATTGTAGATAAAGAGCATTTTTACTAGAAAGAAATAATTAAAATAATGTCATTCTTTGTGTACAAGATACAGTTAGTTACTTATAAACTTTAACAAAATCTTACCAATTTTTGTGACGAACACACATAGCTACCATATTTTTTTTTTTTACGTGAGTGTCCTTCCCTTGTCGAGCGGATGGTAATTACATCCGCCCACACTGAAAGGGTTAACAAAGGAGTTAGTATATACTGTCTGGTTATATTTACTAATTAGCTAGTAAACTAAAAGAAAACAGACAATAATTGTTACCCTAAAAGTATTTGTTTGTTTTAGAGCAAGGCCACATTGAACTATTTGCTATGTCCACTGCAGGAAATCGAACCCTAGATTTTAGCATCATGAGTCCATAAACGTGCTGCTTTCTCACCAGTGGACTTCCCCAAAAGACGACTAAAGGGCACCTGGAGAATTCACCTGTTTTAACTATTCACAGCACTATGCAGTAAAGTGTTGTCTGTCAGTCAGTCAGTAGACACTAAAATGATGTCACATAAAGGATGCTTAACATTGCAATTTGTATTGTCGTGATGTCGGTAAAATGTACACATGCCAGGAATCATGAGAAGAATTATGCACTCTGTAGGCTACAACACAGCATGACATATGAAATTCAAAAGCAATAAATAAAAAATTTGTTACTATTAATTTTGGATTTATTCACTCTTGAAAGAGAACTTTTGGGGAACCTGTACAAGTACATTTAGTCTATAAGAATTATAATGGATTCAACTATTTACTAACCTTCAAATGTAGGTTATCCACAAACCACTCATCCCCAAGAAAGTTGCATGCCATGTCTACATCACCATTATACACCAATCCTTTCACCTGACCCGATTTTATCAGCTGAAGCACCTGGGGTTTCATTGTATCATAAATATTTTTATAGCCAGCTTCCACAGCATTACTAGAAGAAAAATTATTTACAAATAAAAAAAACTTTGGTTGTGTCTTTTTCTCAGGTCCAAAACTGTAACAAAAAGTCACTTGCGTAGTTAGTAGTCTATACAATCACCTAACATTAATTATTAACTTTTTTTTTTTAGAATAACCAGATATTAATTACAAACTAGTTTTTTTTTATCCTACATTTTGGTGGATAATCTGCTACTGTCTGCTTGGAAGTTTTGAGAAGGACTATTATCTCTGTTGTTAATGGTTAAAATTTAATCCTGGGTTTCTTTGATGGAAGTCTGGTGAGTTATCCACTTGACTGGGGTCTCACCTGTTAAGAACATGAATTACCGTGTTGTGTGGCTATTATGCTCCAAAGTTCTAACTTTGAAGAACTTTTTTTATGCTTCTATAATGTATTGTATCCACATTCACAGGGGACATTGTAAATGGTGTTTTTCCTCTTTTTTATTAGATTCTTCAGGTGGTTTAGTGTGTACTAATCGAGATTGTATTGTGATGCTTTTTCTGAATACTATTCTGACTTTATATTGTCTATGTATTCCCTGTATGTTTTCACAGAGAACTTTAACATAATGGAATATGGCTGCATGTCTGTAATTTTCTCCCTCTTTATTCTTGGTGTATATTTTTTTGTTTTCTTCATCTTCTTTCTATCCAATTATCTATTTATAAAGAGGTTATTCTGATGCGTTTTTCTTCCATTTTCCTTAACTTCCTTGATATTACAAATATTATTTATTTATGAAACTAGGCAGTCTTTACACAGTTGGGGTGGCTTGATTTACAGTTGAAGTATTTAACCATATCTCTAGATTTCCTGATAAACTCATGTAGTATATGAGTTATGTGTCTTGGTAACCAAAATATCAAGGAATGTGAGCTTATTATCTTTTTTCTATTTCAACTATGAATTGCATCATGGGATGTTGCTCATTCAGCTGGTTCATGCTTGCCTGTAGCGTATGAAAATGTCATGAATGTATCATCAACAGATCCAAGCCAAACCAAGAAGCATAGAGTGGCTGTTTTGAGAACATTAGCTTAAAATGTTCCACGAAGAAGTTACTGAGTACTGGCAATAAGGATGAGCCCAAAGCTAAGCCTTCTTGTTGTTGGTAGTATTTATCTTCAAGTTGGAAGTAGGTTGTGCATTCTAGTATTGTAGAGATTGTCATTTGGTGCTTTTCTTAAGTTCTATCATTTCCAAGCTGTTGGTGGAGTATTTGTAGGTACCAACACAGAATATAGTTCTTCTAAAAACTTCCCTGAAGATGACAGCACCAAGTTAGCAGTCAAAATACAGGATAAAAACATTTAGTAGTTAGTGTCTAATGATTAGAAAAGGGTTAATAATTAAACTTAAATGATTGGACAGGCTATTAACCACGGCAATGTTTGATATCCAGTCACTATATTCTTATGCAAGTATTTGTAATAAAGATTTAGTTACTCTGTAATGACAATTATATAATTATTTTTAATCCAGCAGAAATATAATTAAGTATTATCAATAAAAAAAAAAAAAAAAAAATTCAGAATTTTATGTATCATAGAATTATCAGTGGTCTTA